CCTGTGGAAATGATATGTGGGTTCTCTCTTGCTTTCTTTTGCTTTGTTGGGGCCGGAGGTGAGCTTGTGTAAAATGGTTCTGTGATCACACGGGTGCCCTGTGTGGCGACCCGCCCGTCACTGTCCTCAGCACACAGCCCAGCCCTCGGGGAGAGCAGCCGTCACACGGGCCTGAAATAACTCGGTGTCAGAGGATCTCTCAGAAACCGGAGCCCTCCAGCACCGTCCGGAAGTGACAGCTGCGATCTTCTGGGAGATTTTTAGAACAGCATCTAGTATGAAATGTGATTTATGTCGCCCACATTTTAGGAAATAGTTTCTAAATGGAGTTCACCTCATTTATAGCACTCACGACTCCTCAGAGCGCGTGAGGAGGCTCGTTTGATTGGGGGAAACGTCAAGGACAGGCCCGAGGAGCAGCATACATCCTCTGGCCCCAGGTCTCCGTGTCCATGGGGCTGCGCTGCCGTGTGGGCCTTGGGCAGCCGCGTGTCCACGTCCGGAGGGAACAGGGCCATTGGTGACTCTCCTCATTGTCCCTGGGAGAGCGCCTCATTGTTCTTCAGGGCAGGAACAACATTCCTGGCGGTTTGATCAGTTGGGCAGTTTGAAAGGAGACCTCCTGGAGGCAGCAGCAAAGACCTCAGACTCCAGCCAGACCCCCTGCCTCCCAGGCGTGCCTCCCAGGTGCTGTGTGACCTTAGGCAGGTTGTTTAACATTTCTGGGCGTTATTTTCATCATCTGTGGACACATAGGAGTGCCCTTGCCTCACGGAAGTTGGCTGTGCGATACAGGAATGTGTGATTAATTCCATGAATCATTGCACAGGAAGCACCTCACGGTGTCCTAGGACATTGTTCAACGGTGCCAGATCTTCCTGTTTTTGAGAACGTGGCTCCAGGTTTACTCAGCCGCTGGGTTTAATTCCTGACGGACACTGATTGGTTTCATGATTTGGGGCAAATAATGTGGCTATTGCTTTACCTGCTAAAACGCACATAATCCTCCAACTCCAAGGGTCCTTGCTGAGGGGAAATGAGAACTCGCCCATAGAGTGTCCAGCAGGGACATTTAATGACAATAGTGCCACCCAGTTAAGGAGTTTGCAAGTGAAAGAAACTGTGTCCAGGTTGTGTCCTAAGACATGGCACGTGGTGTTTTGGTTTGGGTTTCCTTGGCCAGCAGACAAGGCCTCGCCCATGGCCAGGGCGCACCGCCCTCCTGCCCCGTCCCCTCTCCCCTGTTCTGACTGGGCTGTGAGCAGTGACCCGCGCTGGAGTCCGGTGGCCAACCCAGAGGTCAGCCTGGGAAGCGGCATAGTTGGAATTCCTGGGCCGAGCTGTGCCTGGGTTTTGTTTGTGTAAGCATGCGTGGACGAGTTTCAGTCTGGCTTATTCCCGAATATGGTATCCTTCCATCCTGCGGCCGCTGACACCCAGATGCAGCCCAGCCTCGGGTCCGGCGGGATGTGGCCCAAAACGCTCAGGGTCGGTGAGAAAAGGACCACACGGGCCCTGCTGTTTGCTGGCGACCCTGGGCAGGGAGAGCCGGTTAAGATTGAGTTTGCAGCCGAAACCGGTTTGGCTCAGTGGATAGAGCATCGGTCTGCGGACTGAAGGGTCCAAAGTTCAATTCCGGGTCAGGGGCATGTACCTTGGTTGCGGGCACATCCCCGGTAGGGGGTGTGCAGGAGGCAGCTGGTCGATGTTTCTCTCTCATCGATGTTTCTAACTCTCTCTGTCTCTCCCTCTCTGTAAAAAAAAAATCAATAAAATATATATTTTTTTAAAAAAGAAGGAAAAAAAAAAGAAAGATTGTGTGTGCAGAGTGAGATTCCCCCCAGGCCTGCGGGAACTCCGAGCCTCTTACAGCCGGGCTTCCCCCCTCGAAAGGAAGTTCATGGCTACATGCACAGAAGACAGCCTGTGTGAGAAGAGAATGGAATCCAGCCCCGACGCTGGCCTGGGGGCGCTCTCGTGTCAGCTGCTCCAGCTTCTGGCTGCTCTGGCGCCTCCTGAAAGCACCCAGCCCTATTTTTAAAGCTGGCCTGTCTCGGGGGATGCGCTGCTGCTGCTGAAACTCAGTAGCAGCTGCGCAGACATTCTGATTTAAAGGACCCATTTGTAATGTGGACGAAGCTTGGTTACCGAATGAAGGGGGATGGAGTGTTACGGTGCATCAGCTGCTCCAGACCTCATCTCCTGGAAGCCCCGAGTGTATTCCTTCTCCTGGTGGCTGTGTACCTGCCGCCCCGCCCCTGCCTGTAGTGTGTGTGTGTGTGTGTGTGTGTGTGTGTGTGTGTTAGCTCCTGTGTTGCTCGTCACGCTCAGCTGCCCATGGAGGAGGAGGAGGAGGTCCTCGCTAACTGGAGGGAGGGTGCAAAGAGCAGCAGGTTCAGGAAGTGTGACTCACGGGCCAGATCTTCATCCCATGAGCCCCTCGCAGGGGTCATGCTCAGCTCTGTCCAGATAATGTATGTAGAGGTGCCCAGTGGTTTAGGAATCAGGAACGTCAGCATGATAGCAGGGACGCCATGTGCTGGGCACGCCCTGAGCAGCAGGCCAGGACCCTAGAGTGTAGACTCAGAGTGCAGACAGGATCACCTTGGCCACTGGTTTTCAAACATTTTGGATATGGGACGCTCCCTCCCCCAGCCCAATGCACGAGTATATACAACTGATATAAACTCTGTTCTGTTCCTGGCATTTGTTTCTCATTTCTTGTCGAGTTAGGCGTAAAGTCGGTGGCAGCGAGCCTGCGTAGGCACAGGTCGGAACGGCCCGCTGCAGGAGAGAAGCAGCAGCTTTGTGTCCACGTTGCATTCTGGTTGCAGCGCCCGGAGAAAACCAGTCCTAGCCCGTGGCAGCTGTGGTTGAGAGTGACTCTCCTGTGGTCGTAAGAAACCCTCAGAACAGAAGGTGGCAGCATTAGTGAGATTGCTGATGACAAGCCACTCCTGTCACACCTCCCCTGTGTGGGGCTCTGGGATGGAAACCGAGCGCGGGGCCTGTGGGGCAGGTGCGGGTGCCTCTCGGCGACACGTGAAGCGGTGACGTCACAGGCCCAGTGCCCTGCGACCCGCAGGAAGGTCTGTCGAGTCGTCTTTGTTCCTTGGAGGAACTGCTCTCTGTCCTGGATCGGGCCCAGACGTCAGGTTTATACCCTGCTGTGTGTGTGGCTCCTGGGGGTTCACGCTGCGGGGCTGACAGGAAGTCGGGAGGGCAGTCCGCCTGTGCTGAGAGGGGTTCTGAGGAGGAGAGGTGCGGTGCGGTCCTCAGTACTTGGCTGCCCGGGTCTCAGGTGCAATAGCGTAGGACCCCAGGAGAGCCGGACGCAGACCGGTGACTCGCACAGAGCCGGGCCCACCCCTGGGCCTCTCCCAGGACGGCTGCAGCGTGCCGGTGTCACCCCAGGGTGCACAGCCCCTGTGTCTGCACCGCCATGTTTTGTTTCTCAGAACCGATGCTTAGTTTGGGAAATGGAGCCCTTGTGTTGCATTTAGCTGCACAGTGTTTATTGTCATTGCTCGGCCACTCCGCTAGCGATGATGCCTCCTCCTGTTGACGGCCCCCTGGCTGCTTCCAGGGTGGGGCTGCACGTGTTTCTCAGTGCACTCCTCGGGCACCCACCCCCGGGCACGTGTCTGCAAGGGCAGGGTTGCTGGGTGGTAGCGTGCGTGCACCTTCAGCATTACTCAGGGGTGTCTGTGGCCCCCCAGTCCCCACTGCTCCACACCCGTGTCTCAGCCACTGGGGTGACGACTGAGGTGGGCACTCTCCCCAGTAAGTTCACGGGCCCTCGGACGGACTGCACCTTTGCGAGCGCCTGTTCTGTGTCTCCCGTTTTCACACCGAGGTGCCGTACTGGTTAGTAGGAGGCTGGGTCTGTTCTGGAAGCTGACATGAGTTCGCATGAGGCTGTCTGTAAACACAGTGTCCCAGCAGGCAGCAGGAGTAGACGGGGCATCACTCGCGACCTCTCCTTCCTCCTGTCATAGAGGTTCCCTCCCGAGGTGTCTCTCCCCTTCGTCCTCAGCCCCTTCCTGTCCTCTCTTCTACCAAAAGCTTCTCGTCTGGCCTGGCACTGTCCCCAGAGCCTGTGTCTTTGCCTCTAGACAGTGATCCCCATGACATAGCAGAGGCCTCCCTTCCCCTAACCCCGCCTTTTGGTGCCCCTCCCGTTAAGAATCAGGACGTGGGGTGCGAGGCACAGTCGCTGACGTGGGCGTTGGTGAACCTTCGCTTCGTAGTCTCTTTCCACTCAGGCCATGTCCTTGGCTGCTCCCCACCTCCCACCACCAGCTGGCGCTCACTGCCTCCGGGATCACACTGGGCTCCTGGCCGAGCCCTCGGGTGATGGTGGGGGGGGGCCCTCTTTGATCCGACTTCTCTTTCGGGACGTTCTCCAACCAAGACTTGCTTCAGAGGTTCTAAGCTCCACAGAGGCAGGAATGAGAGGATGCCGTCTCGGCTGCCTCAGCCATTGTTAGTTCTTGTTGGGCGAAATGTCTGCCTTCAGGGGAAAAGGCCAGATTGGGCGGTGACACTGGTCTCTGTGCTGTGAGGCACTCCCTCCTGGTTACTTCTTGCTGTCAAAAAATAATGTAGCAAACACAGTGACTCCTGAGTCTGCAGAGGGGGCTCAGCCTGGGGACCCTTTTCCCGGATGGCCCTCCCGGGTGGTTGTGTGCTGAGAGCTCCCCAGACCTGGGCGGCGGTTCTCCTCCTTGTGGGCCTCCCCCGGGGCAGGCAGCCTGGGCTTCCCCGCCGCCGCTGGCATCTGGGTCCTGAGGACGAGTGTCCGAGGATCCAGGAGTCGCTCGTCTCCAGGACCTGGGCCCAGTTGCAGCCGCCTCCTCGCTGTGCGGTGGGTCTGAGCTCACCCAGACTCGGGCCGGGGCACTGATCCGCAGCCCCCGCCTCTCCGTGCGGGAGCATCAGAGGACGGGCGGCCCCGTTGACCACCGCGTCCTAACGGTCTCCCCTCTGACTCCCCTCAGCCCTGACGGCCGCTGCGGGACGGGGGAAGCTGGACGTCTGCGAGCTGCTGCTGGAGCGCGGGGCTGCCGTGTCCCAGGCCAACCGGAGAGGCGTCCCGCCGCTGTTCTGTGCCGCACGCCAAGGGCACTGGCAGGTACCCCGCGGGCCCCGGGGGCTTCGGAACCACGGGGGGGGGGGCGGCGAGCTCACTGCGGCCCATCGCCATGGGGCCCAACGCGGCTCCCCACCCCGCGTGTGCCGTGGCCTTGCTTCTGCTGGTGCTGTCTGCGCTCTCTGACAGGCAGCCCGGTGGGCGGGGACCAGGAGCAAGGCCGTCACCAGCTGGGAGACCACAGGGGCGTCCTGGCGCCTGGGCTGGGGCCATGGAGTGACGGGGCCCCGTTCTAACAGAAGACGTGCTGTGGAGTGTCTGTTGTTGGTGTGATTGTCCAGCACTCCCGGAGGAAGGTGGTTCTCTCGCGTTCTCTGGAGAAGCACACGCGCCCTTTGGCCGGCGCTGCGGGCCACCGTGTGTGAACGGCCCGCTGTCCTTCAGTCACGGAACACGGGGCCCGTGAGACCAGCGTTCGGTCACCTGGTCCTTCGTTTTGTCAGCCATGCGCCTACCCCGTGCCTGGCCCCAGATTGCACACAGGCAGCAAACGGATACGTGCATCTTCCCGTGTTCGTTACAGGGAGAGTTCTCTAGATCCAAGTTTGCATCATGGCATCGCATCTCTCCCGATTCCTGCTGGTTCTGTTGGTAGGAGCTGTGTACAGCCGCTCCTCACTCCCAATATTTCGGCTTTTCTCCTTTCGCTTCCCAGGGCTTGGTGTGCAGCAGGCAGTCCCTGTAGCCCCCGCACAGTGCCCTGGCTAACCCTCTCCCCTGGTCTGTTCCCACATGGGGGAGTTTGGGAAGCATTGGTTGGTGTGCCAAGAACCAGAGAGCAATGGGAGTGTGCCCCCTTCTCCTTCCTGGGTGGTAGTTGCATGAGATGCTTCTCTGGTTTCCTGGTTTTGCTCCCCAACCTCATCACATGCACTGTTGAAAGGTATGGTCCCAACCCTAGCCAGTTTGGCTCAATGGGTAGAGCATCAGCCTATTGACTGAAGAGTCCCGGGTTCAATCCTGGTCAAGGGCACATGCCCAGGTTGAGGGCTCGATCCCCAGTTGGGGATGATTCCCTCTCATCATTGATGTTTCTGTCTCTCTCTCACTCTCCCTTCCTCTCTGAAATCAATAAAAATGTATATTTAAAAAATCTATGAAATTTATGGTCCTTGGCAAGACTCTCCTGCAGGCAGCTCTGCTGAAAATGGCCCACTGTGAACCTCAAACCACCCACCAAGCTGAGTCTCAGAAGATCAGATTGCATGGGGTGCGGTGGGTGGAGGTTTCCTTGCACCCTACCCCCCCTGCGCCCTTTCCTATGGAAGTGTCGCTTCAGGCCCCTTTAGTTCTGCTCAGTTATCCCACAAGCCCCGCTGTGGCTGTCTGGTCAGCACTTGATTGTAATTGGCACCCAGGTCCTGTGCCTGCGTGGTTGTAAATGTGTGCACCTGGAAGGAGGTTTTGTTCACAGGAAGACAATAGGAAGTTGTTACAGGCTGCACCGGTCACCCAGTTCAGAGGGGCTTTTAAAGGAAGAGAGTCCCTCTGGGACTTTTAAAGGCGGGCAGTCCTGCCTCGGGACGGAGAGCAGGGTGTGCCGTGGAGCAGGGGATCGTGACGCGGTGTGTTTGTTTCAGATCGTGAGGCTGCTGCTGGAACGCGGCTGCGATGTGAACCTGAGTGACAAGCAGGGCAGGACCCCCCTCATGGTGGCCGCCTGCGAAGGGCACCTGAGCACCGTGGAGTTCCTCCTTTCCAAAGGTAGCGGCATGTCTGCTCCTCGGGGGTTTCTGTGGGATGGACAGAGACGAGAGCTTTGGCGGACTGATTCCGTGCCTTCTAGTTCTAAGTTTACGTCTGACTGAAGGAGGGAGAGAAGAGGTAATGAAGTTGCATACCCACTCCTGGGCTTCAGCAGGACAGTCAGGTCCCGAGGCAGCCTCAGGCTTCTCAGCACCTCACCCGGGCTTTGTCTTGAGTTTTCAAGGTCTGTGATTGGGCTTTTTCTTCTTTCAGGTGCCACCCTTTCTTCTCTGGACAAAGAGGGCTTGTCAGCATTGAGCTGGGCTTGTCTGAAAGGCCACAGGGCCGTGGTCCAGTTCCTGGTTGAGGAAGGAGCTGAGATAGACCAGATGGACAAGAACGGCCGCACCCCCCTGGACCTGGCGGCCTTCTACGGCGACGCAGAGACCGTAGGTACCACCCGTGGTCACGCTGCGTGCAGGGCTGGTGCCACAGAGAAACCCTGACCCGAACCACATCCAGAGTGTGTGTGTGAGAGTGTATGTGCCTGAGTGTGTGTGTGAGTGTTGTGTTGTGGCATATTTTTGTTTTTATTTAATTGTGTGACAGTCTACTCCAGAATGTAATAAAGATTTGAATAGACTCTGAAAAGCTTAAAAATACATGATTACAAGCTGTATGTACAATGGGTACACACACATGCCTGTGTAGCCTAATTTTCTTATAGTAATCCGTATAAATAGAATTCTTATATAGATCACTTAAAAATCACTTCTGTGTATACGAGAAGTTGCTAATCAGATAATTAGCTGGTTCGTTTTAAAGCCAATATGGCATTGTCTAGAATGCTTTGGGCACTTTCTTTATCTCTTGACTGATGCTTAAGCCTAATTGAGATCTAGGGGACAAAACCTTAATAAACTAAGAGCTGAAAACTGCTTTTCGGGGTGGAAACCATGTCTTTGTCTGGATTCACATCTCTGGTCCCAGCAAGCACTAGAGGACTGCTCGGCCCCTTTAGAGTTACCATGCTTGAATATTTAATGTCTAGTGTCAGGGTTACCTAGAGAGACAGGTGTTACATTGGAACAAACCATGGTCGCCGGCACATCTGGGCCCTGATGCTTTTAAAAGCTAGTGACATTAGAGCAAGATAGTCTCTATTTCCCAGACATTGTAAACTGTCCTTAATACTGATTTTCAGAAATAGCTATTTAACTGAATCTCACCTATCTACACTCACACTTTTCATCTTGTACTTTTTATCTTATACCTTACAAAATCCTATAGCCCATCAACAACAGGGAACAGTGAAGGAGTGTAGCATTCTAGTACCTTTTTAAAAACTGTGATGAGCAAAAGAACGTAAAATGTGCCACCGGAGCCATTTCTAAGAGAAGATTCTGTGTGTGAACTGTGCTCACCCTGCTGTGCCACCGATGTCTAGACATTCTTACCTTCCCAAACTGAAACCCCGTCCCCATTAAACAACTCTTCCTCACTCCTCCCTTCCCTGGGAACCCCCACTGCACGCTCTGTCTCTCTGCATTGGACTGCTCAGGGTACCTCATGAGTGGAATCTGCAGGATCTGTCCTTTGCCGCCTGGCTTATTTCACTTCGCATAGTGTCTTCACGTGACAGGATTTTCTTCCCTTTTAAGGCTGAATAAACAGTCCATTGTGTATATGCACTACATTTGCTGTACGCATTCACCTACCCATGGGCGCTTACGCTTTCTCCCCCTCTTGGTTATTGTGAATAGTGCTGTTGAGAACATGGATATGCAAGTGTGTCTTTAAGATCCTACAGATTCTTTGAGATCTGCGCATATTCTTTAGGGGGTAGACCCAGACGTGGGATTGCTGGATCTAATGGTGATTCTATTTTTTTTAAAATATATTTTATTTATTTTTTTTACAGAGAGGAAAGGAGAGAGATAGAGAGCTAGAAATATTGATGAGAGAGAAACATCAATCAGCTGCCTCCTGCACACCCATCTACTGGTGATGTGCCCTCAAACCAAGGTACATGCCTTTGACCAGAATCGAACCTGGGACCTTTCAGTCCACAGGCTGATGCTCTGTCCATTGAGCCAAACCGGTTTCGGCTGGTGATTCTATTTTTAATTTTTTGAAGAACCTCCCTACTGTCCCAAGTGGCTGCACCATTTCCCCTTCCCACCAACGAAGCACAGGGTTCCTGCTTCTCCACATCCTCACCCACACTCACTATCCGCTGCTTTATTTGTTGTGTGTATGGTAGCCATGCCAACAGTGTGAAGAGGCACACCCTCGTTGCGGTTGTGATTACTTTACTTGCATTTCCGTAATGACCAGTGATGTTGAACATCTTTTCACGTACATATTGGTCATTTGTGTATCATCTTTGGCAAAACATCTATTCAGATCCGTTGCCTGTTTTTAAATCGGGTTATTCGGGATTTTGTTGTTGACGTGTCGGTGTTCTCCCCATCTTCTGGATGCATATCCCACTGTTGTCATCTGTAACAGCGGGCGGACTGACAGGGTGGATCTGTCAGATCCACATGACACTGGCTACCATCTTCCTATTCAGTAAGCGGAGCCGTGTGAGTGCCAGAGTGGTTTCTCCTGTTGTTCTCTGTATAGCCCAAGTGACAAGGGTCTCCAACGTGTCATCTTTGTAGTCCCAGGATCCAGGTCTCATTCCTAAGCCCTGAACTGAGTAATCATCGGGTCCCTCTGATCCCACGCTGCTCATCTGTCCGGCCCGCTGTGCCCCGCTGTGTGGGTCTGAGTGTCTCTGAGGTGCCGGTGCCTGGAGCCTCCAGCTTGCTGCCCGGGGCCTCCTACAGGGCCTCCTCCCTGTCTCTTCTTGTGGCTCCAGACGGGGTGAGGCAGACACACGGTGACGTGTGCATGTACCAGCCTGTGATATGTGAGTGTGTGTGCACACATGCCCCTCCCGGGGAGCCTCCCTGCCGATTTCAAATTCACGCTAACAGAGCGGGGCTCTAGGTATGGATTGCCACTGCTCTTCCCTGTTCTCTGTCAACTTGCTTTCCATGCTAGGATCCCTGATGGCCAGAGGCACCTGCCACCAGGAGAAGCCGCTGAGCCAGGCCCTGCAGGTGGCCCAGGACAGCACCCCTGCCAGGAGCCGCCCCTCATGCCTCTGTCCCCCGCAGGTGCTGTACCTGGTGGACAAGGGCGCTGTGATCGAGCACGTGGACCACAGCGGGATGCGTCCCTTGGACAGGGCCATCGGTTGTCGGAACACATCGGTCGTGGTCACGCTGCTGAGGAAAGGAGCCAAATTAGGTCAGTAAATGCCTCCATTCAGCGGTGAGAGGGAGGGTGAGCGGCTCCCAGGATAAGCTGTCAGGTGTTTGGCCCTGGCCGGCGTGGGTCAGGGGTTAGAGCATCAGCCTGAGGCCCAAAGTGTCCCGGGTTCGATTCCCAGTCAAGACAGGTCCAAGAGCATGGGAAGAGGAAAGAGGGATAGAGCCGAGGCATCGAGAGTGGGGTGATAGCAGGCTGCAGAGGAGCGCACACGAGAACACACACCTCCCCTGCCAGTGGTCATGGGCACGGCTGGAAATGAAGTGATTACTATGCAGCCTTGTTTAATTTCACCCCGATGCCCATCGGAAGGGAGGGGTGGTTCGTGGCTGCTCTGCTGCTCTCGTTTCCCAGTGCTTTCTCGCCGGGATAACAGTTTGTGCCCAGTACAGCTCCCCTCCCAAGTGCTTGCTTAGTCCAGCGGCAGGCCAGCAGGGGTCCTGTCCCTGTCCGGGGCTGTGCTGCCCTCTGGAGGCTGCAGGTCACCCACCAGCAGTGGTCTCTGCTGCTAAGTCCCTGCCGTGGGGTCCCGCTGTGTGTGATGGCACTGGGCTGGGCCGGGAAGATCTCTCCTTTCCTGCAAGGCCACTGCGGCGCCTCTCACTGCGTGTTTATTTTGCAGGAAATGCTGCCTGGGCGATGGCTACCTCCAAGCCTGACATTTTGATTATACTTTTGCAGAAGTTGATGGAAGAAGGAAACGTGTTGTACAAAGTAAGTGGTGATGCCGTGGCCCGCGAGCAGCCTCTCAGTCAGGTGCATAACAGATGTGGCTGTGCGGCTGCACGGGGCCCACGGAGCGTGGCTTCCGTAGACGCTCCGAGAGAGGCCGCTGGCCTGCTGCCCAGGCTCATGTCCTGACGGCAGAGGCTTCGAGGTAGAAAGCACTTCTCCTGTGTGAGAGCCGTGACCTCTGAGTGAGTCCCTGTGAAGGCAGGGTCGCTCCTGATTTAACTGGCACATCCTCGGGAGACTCCTCAGTGCACAGAGCCGGGAGTGGCGGAGAGGAGCACTCAGGAGACATTTCCGGAAAAGAGCAAGAGAGCAAGCCTTGCTTATCTTATTTTAGTGTCTTTAAGCTTCTAGAGTGTGAAACTGTTTTTATTTAAGATATTAAGTAATATACACTGAGTGGCCAGAAAGTTATGATTTCTGAACACACAATAATCTGGCCACTTAGAGAGTGTGTGTGTGTGTGTGTGTGTATGTGTGTATGTATGTGTGTGTGTGTGTGTGTGTGTGTGTGTGTGTGTGTATCTGATTAGGTCAAAAGCAAACTTTGACTGGAAAGGGCCAGACAGTAACTAGGGGAGGCTTTGCTGTTTGGTCTGTGTCCCCCAAGCCTCGGTGCTGTGTGGGCGAGGCAGCCACAGATTATATGTGAGTGAAGCGGCGTGGCTGCATCCCAAACTGCTGGTAAAAATCAGCGGCGAGCCACCCTTGACCCGCAGGCTGTATTTTGCCAAACCCCCCCCCCCCCCCCCCCCGGTGTTAGTTGGATGCTTGGGCCATTTACATAGATCACCCTTCTTTCCTTGTCTGTGATTAGATAGAATTAAAAGATTCTAAAAACAAAGCCCTAGATTATGGCCATTTTAATCCTTTTTACCAGGAGACAACAGCACTTGCAACGCTTTTAGTTTTTCCCTTTTCCAGAATAATAAATAAATAGGCATGTCGCGTGACCCAGCAGGGTTCCTGTCTAGGAATCAGTTTGAAATTGAGTTCAGAGCGCGTACCGTTGCAGCTTTGAAGTGGCTTTAATGTGAATTTTGGTTGGCAATTACGTTAGAACTGCCAAGCCATTTTCAGCAGGCCGCACACCTGCTGCGCAGGACCGGCTGAGCATCGGAGATGGCTTTCTGGAGCCTGGAAAATGCCGCCTGGTGCTGTTCAGATTTTTAAAGCCCTCTCAAAAGAAAAATTATTATTCTGCAGCAAGACTCGGCTTGCCTTAGGACCCGCATTGTGTTTTCATTTGATTTCTGTTACGCTTAGCATTAAAATATCTCTGAGATATGATATATCAAATGAGAGACATGCACAAAAAGGTTTTCAAAAATATATAACGGATGATAATGTGCTGTGTTAAGAAGGATAGCGATCAGCCAAAACCGGTTTGGCTCAGTGGATAGAGCGTCGGCCTGCGGACTGAAAGGTCCCAGGTTTGATTCGGGTTAAGGGCATGTACCTTGGTTGTGGGCATATCCCCAGTGGGGGGTGTGCAAGAGGCAGCTGATCGATGACTCTCTCTCATCGATGTTTCTAACTCTCTATACCTCTCTCTTTCTCTCTGTAAAAAATGAATAAAATATATTAAAAAAAAAAAAAAAAGGATAGTGATCAGCTTGGCAGCTTACAGACGCCTTCCTGTCAAACCAGCTTCCCTCTCACCTTGTGAAGCACAGGGCCCGGTGGCCGGCGAAGCCACGGGTGTTCACGCTGGTTAGCGTTTGACTCTGGCTGTGGCGCTTTCTCTTCAGGACCCTTTCAGCGTGCTGGCATGGTTTTGGCAGCCGGCGGGAAGGCGGGGTAGGGGGGTGGGGAGAATGACCTCTTTAGGGTGTGGGAGCTTGTCTGTCCTGGAGCCTCTGGTACAGGATGACTGTCTGTGATGTTTGGATCCTAGAAGGGGAAGATGAAGGAGGCAGCCCAGAGGTACCAGTACGCCCTAAGGAAGTTCCCTCGAGAAGGACTCGGAGAGGACATGAGGCCCTTCAATGAACTAAGAGTGTCTCTCTATCTCAACTTGTCTCGCTGCCGAAGAAAAACAAACGTAAGCTGTGCCCCTCGTTCCAGTCCTTCAGCTGTAACCTGTGGTTGCAGTGGGGGAGGCGAGCCCACCCACAGAACCCCCATCGTGCCCCCCCCCCCCCCGCCCACATCTGAGCTGCGTGCACATTGCTGCAAGCCGGGCATATGGCACGCTGCTCCTCTTGCATGACTGTCCTTGGGTCGCTCTCACTGCCCGTCTCTCAGGGCGCTGACTGCGTGCACCTGGGGGTAGTTCCTCTGCTTCAGTGCAAACCGCCCCTCCCCCCACCCCTCCCAGCCTCATGGGGCCAGCACAGTCCTAGAGGCCCAGCCCCAGATTCACATGGTAAAGTTCAACTCAGCTGTATTGCAACCTGCCTGGAGCTTACTGTGTTTGCTAAGAAGTTATGCCAGTAACTGCTTTAAGTTGTAACCAATAGCAGCTAACTCGGTTAATTGGTAACCCATAGCTAGTAGATTTGTTTTTAGTACTTCTCTCTTCTACTTGTTTTTTAACTTCGCCCTCCCACCACCAGATCTGTTGACCTGTCTGCTCCTGGGCCCGCTGTTCTGCCTCCCGTCCTGTTAGCGTGGAGGGCGCGCCCGGGCCCCCTCTGAGCAGACCCTCCTGTGTGTCCATCTGCTCCCGCCTTCTGGTGCACGGCTTTACCAGCTCTCTCTCCCGAATCATCTCTTTTTGCTTCCCTGCGGGACCCTCCTCTTAAGGATATTAATACGTTTTAACTATCTCCCAACTTTAAAAACTAAACAGAAAAACACACGTGCCTTGCCCTTCATCTCTCTCCAGCGAAGTCCCAATTCTCTGCTGACCTTTAGAGCAAAACTCATTAAACAGTCTCCTGTAATCATGTTCCAATGCTGCTTTTGACTCATCTGTTTCCATGCCGACCCCAGGACTTCGGCATGGCGGAAGAATTTGCTTCCAAGGCGCTCGAACTGAAACCAAAGTCCTATGAAGCCTTTTATGCCAGGGCGAGAGCGAAGAGAAACAGCAGGTACTGTCTGGGGTTAGATGTGTGACTCAGAGCTGCTGAGGTGCTTCTGGGGTCGGAGCTGCTGTTGACGAGGGGGCTTCTGGCTCATAGGCCGCCGTCTCATCCCTTTTCATCCTAAAAGGGCAGCTTCCAAGAGGCACAGGAGTGGGGATTGCTGGCAATGGCTAAGCTTTTCTTTCCTTCTGACACCTGCATGACTATGCCTTCCCTCCACCGCAGCAGACACACACTGCAACATGAAGGTCCCAGGTGCGCTGTATAATCCAGTAAAACCGCCCCCTGGAGACCTGGAGTGGGGGTGGTGGAGAGGGGGAAGGAGGCATAGGACTTCAGAGTAAGAGGTGGTGTGGTGAGCGGGGAGAGGACGGATAACTGTAAGGGGGTTCTGACAGCCACAGGCTTAGGCCTGCTCTCACTCCCAGCCCAGTGGTCTTTGTAGAGGCAGCAGGGCCCGAGTCATGCGGATCTGGCCTGGAATTAGCGGTCCCGCTGAGCTGCGTGGCTCTAAGCTGGTTACATGGGCCCTGCCTGCCAGTGAGGGTTCAAGCCTCCGCGGCTCCCTTCTCAGCCGCGCTGGGTTGGGAGCAGCTGCATTCAGAGCCTGTGTGTTTGCCTGGCCTGTGACTGTGCCTTCTCCTTCACATGCAGGCAGTTCACGGCAGCCCTGGCGGACCTGCGGGAGGCCATGAAGCTCTGCCCCACCAACCAGGAAATCCGGCGGCTCCTGGCCCGCGTGGAGGAGGAGTGCAAGCAGGTCCAGAGGAGCCAGCAGCAGAAGCAGCAGTGCCCGCCGCCCGCCGCTCCCACGGACTCGGACAACGAAGAGGAGGCCCCGGCCCCGGCCCCGGGGCCCGAGGACCCCTTCCCCCTGGTGGAGGCCGAAGAGGAAACGTCTCCGCAGGACGGCTCGGTTTCCCTGGCTTCCAGGCCCCATCCCTCCGCCCCGTCCCCCTACATCCGGAACCTGCAAGAAGGGTTACAGGCCAAGATGAGGCCCGCCTCGCCACAGAACCCACAGAACCAGCACCGGCCCGGGGCCGCCCAGCCCCCGCGGGAGCCGGTGGCGCAGCCGGGGCTGGTGGTGCAGCCCACCAAGCAGGCGCAGATCGTGAAGACCAGCCAGCACCTGGGCGCCGGGCCGGCGGGTGCGAGGGGAGGGAGCATGAGGCTGCAGGGCTCCTCCCCGCATCCTCCCCCGAGCCCCATGCCCGGCCGGGGCTCCGTAGCCCCCCCAGGTGGCAGAAGCCTGCACCTGCACCCGAACTTGGCGGAGGGCGCAGGCACGTTCTCCGCAGGGCCGGGTCCTGGCCGGTTCATGGAGCGGCTGGGCCCGGGCCATGGGGTCCAGATGCAGCACAGCGACAGCGGCGCCGCCTATCCGCTGCCCAGCAAGATCAAGAGCGCCGAGCGGCTGCTGGCTCACACCCCCGGGGCCCTGGATGGAGCCCCGCTTGGCCACAGCCACGGCGGGCAGGTGGGCGGCAGCGACCTGCGGCACCCCGCCTCCCTCAGCAGCTCCGGCTCCTCCGGGTCTCCCTCCAGCAGCATCAAGATGTCCAGCTCCACCAGCAGCCTGACGTCCAGCAGCAGCTTTTCCGACGGCTTCAAGGGCCAGGGACCCGAGGCCCGAGGCAGAGACAAGGCTGCTCCCCAAGTGCAGAGCGGCACCGCCGAGCACAGACCCCGCAACACGCCGTTCATGGGCATCACGGATAAGACGGCCCGGTTCCAGCAGCAGCAGCAGCAGAGCAATCCTCCCGGCCGCACCTGGCACGCTGCTGCCGGGCCCGAGGGGCTGCTGCTGTCACACACCCCTGCAGCCGGCCTGCAGGCCTCGAACCCGGAGAGGGCCTCCCTCAAACAGGCGGCAGCCGGGTACCACAGCCAAGCCAGGTCCTGCGCCGTGCCCACCCTGGGCGGCAGCGTCCACAATGGGGCCCCTGGGAAGGAGCTAGAAGAAAGGAAGGGCCCGGGTCCAGCCCACTGCCAAGACAGCAGGGTGGCCAAGACTGTGTCCCATCTGTACCAGGAGAGCATCTCCAAGCAGCAGCCCCCACACATCGGCAGCGAAGCCCACAGGAGTCTCCTCCCCTCCGCCAAGCCAAAGCGGTCCTTCATAGAGTCAAATGTGTGAGCCCGGGGAGAGAGACCCGCTGGGGCGATGTGGAAAACTGTGTTGGCTCTTGGTGGTAATTAAAGTATTTTTTTAATGAGGGGGAAAAATTTACTTTTCAGCCATATTTTTTTTCTTTTTCTTTTTTCCCTTGGGAGCGGATCTGATTTATTTAAAATGTGGGATAAAATTACTGGGATAAGTACCCGAAGTCACCATCCATAAGAATGCTAACCAGAACTGAAAACTGCAATCAGTTATGCCTATTAAGTTAAACACTTAAGGCAACCAAATAACTTGTGCTTTTTCTCTTATGAAATTGTTTGGTTTTTATCACCTTTCTCCTAGTCTTAGCTATGTAACTAAAATCATAATATTTCTTAGAGAATATAAGTGTCTAGTCCTCTGCTATATGGCAAAAATCATACTATTTCTTAGAGAATATAAATGTCTAAGTGATAGTTTTAACTCATGACTAAATTGCCAGATGATGTATTCTAGGAAAGATGGAATTTTCTAGTTACAGTTCCATCTAGTCAAACCCCAGTTTATATATCTATATATAAAATTAAGACCCCAGTGATTCTAGCTGAATGTGTGTGACTATACATGTTATATACCTGATTTTCTTAAGCAAAATACAAGAACAGCCAAGTATTGTTCCCTTCACAGCTGTTCCCTGGAGAGGATTGAGCACTTATTTCTGTTATGGTTCTCATTAAACATATTTTTATAGCACCTTTTTGAGCTACATTCCCATTTCAAGGTGTTTTGATATTTGGAAACAGTGTAAGCTATTTGGAATCCTGATTGGTGGTCAGGTTGGGTTTGGGCTAGAATACGAAGGATATAGCATTCTCGGTGACATAAATTACTTTCCGTTGGTTCCCAAACCGCTTTTAACGGGGATAGCACTCCTGCAACAAGCTTTCAAGATCCTTTAAGGACAGTATTTAATTTGAATCCTTAAAGTCTGGTTCGTTGGTTGCTTTTGTTTTATTACACAATCATTACTTTATAGACACATGTTGTATATATTAAATAGCCAAGTGTATCCAGACTTGTATATACTATTTCAAGTAGCTAATCTTAAAAAAAAAAAAAAAGTCATATTTGCATGTTCTATGTAAACGTCATCCATGCTGGTTATTGCACTGAACACTATATTATTATGGCATGTTAACAGTGTACCAGTAACGGCACTTTATTTCATTTATATGAACACCTTTGAGGTGCTACTTAAGTTCAAACTGATGTATTATTCATTTGTAAAGATAAGGTACAGGAATGAGCCTTGGATTAAAGGTATTTTTATATGAAAATGGTGTGCTATTGAAGGATGTTAAAATGCTAGTTTGAGAGAGGTGGGAGTGTGTTTTATATGTTGGGATGTGAAAATTATTTTCTAGAATTGGGGAGAAGGAAGTTCTATATTTACAGAATGTTTTAAAAATGAATCATCGTAATGAAGTTCCTGTGAGCATCCTTATGGTTTTGTACGAATAGGAATCTTCTGGTGTTATTCTTCAACATTTGTTCCTGTTGTATTTTGTTGTTGTTTTATAGGTTTTTCATGAGTTCTGCTATAACTTCTACGGCTTATTTATTGTTTTAATATTTGAGAGTCTTACTCTTTTGTTATGTAGTTTTGTTTCTGCACAACTACTGTACTTTTCCACATGGAATAAAGACTATTAATAGAATTTGTTTTTGCATTACTTTAAAGCAACCATGGGTAAGTAGAACATGTCCTGGTGACAACTATTGCCTTGCTTTACTCCAGGTGATCTTTTTACCCTAGTGCTGTGGTTGGCAAACTGCAGCTCGCGAGCCACATGCAGCTCTTTGGGCCCTTGAGTGTGGCTCTTCCACAAAATACCATGGCCTGGGTGAGTCTATTTTGAAGAAGTGGCGTTAGAAGTTTAAGTTTAAAAAATTGGCTCTCAAAAGAAATTTCAATCGTGGTACTGTTGATATTTGACTCTTTTGACTAATGAGTTTGCTGACCACTGCCCTAGAGAAATAGTGAAAAGCCTATTTTCATAGTAATACTATTAAATGCCTATTTAATTTCATTTTGTCATAATTTTAAAATAAAGGTGTGACAGCTTCTAGAAATCCAAAATATTCAAGGGTCAAAAATCGTCTTTTTGCCTGAAACAGGAAAGAAAGCATGAAGAGCATTCTGTAATTTTCTTACCTGTTTTTGGTGTGTTTTTACTGCCAACAGGATATCTTTAGTACTGTAACTCTTAACGTTTTGACAACAGTGAACACGATTAATATAAGTTTGTTCTTCAGCACATTTGTATTTCTCGGTTATAAGTGTGTATTTGTCTATACACACATATTTCCGTTTCAAACTAATATGAATGAGAGTGAACATTAAACTGGGTGGTTCTGTAACAAAATCCTGACATAAGCCTAGGTATTCCCTGATACTACTGCAGGTTATTGTCTGGTTACAGCTATTACTATTATGAATAAAGCTAAATATCGTATTTTAAGTCCATCTTTCAAGGTATATATATATTTAAGCTAAAGGTTAAAAACTGGGTGCGAAAGAAGAGTCAACAAATAATTCTTGATGACTTGTGTGGAGCTCCATTGTGACTGTCAGAATTTATTACATGACATTATGATTTTGATATATTCTTAGGAAAGCTAAGATATTTGCTTCAGTCACGCCAGAAGAGGTAGTCTCCTTGGGAAGCTCCAGGTCAGTCCTGAGGCCTGGACAGCGGGCAGGTGAGTGTGAGTGCTGCTCCGTGTGGTCCTGAGCGAAGGGCAGGGCCTGCCTGGAGAGCGCAGCAGAGGGTTCATGTGGTGTCCTTGCCTGTGTGGTTGTTTGTATGTTTGTATGTTTAGTTGTATGTATGTTTGTGAGGAGGGGGAGTTGGTTGGCTTTGGTTTATGTGTAAGTACTTCATTTGGTAAATTATTGGCATCCTATTTTTTTTTAGCCAGTTTGTATAACAAACTATACTGGTGAAATGTAGAAAAGACTGGTTATTTTTATAACCAAACTTTTATTGTTTTTCTATAAATGACTGATGATTTTTATAATTTTTATGTAAAAATCAGATAGGAAAATTACAAATATCAAAACAAAAGATATCTGGTCCAATGGTAGGCTCTCCCAATTAAAGAAAGTGGTTAAAATTACATTAGCATCCTTTCTCTTTTAGAACATGTTCCTTTTTTTATCCTCATAAGGATGCCCTTTTTATCCTCATAAATAAGAATATGAGAAGCATGTGTAATTTGAAAAAAACCATAAACACTTCTAGCTATGACACACACAAAAACTCAGCAATACAGTATTAGGATGACAGAAATTGTACAAAGCAGCAATTATAGAGAAAAGGCATTTGGAGCTTTCTGTGGTAGCTAGACTCGCGCCCCCCCCCCCCCTTTTTTTTTAATGTTTTTATTGATTTCAGAGAAAGGAAGTGAGAGGCTAGAGAGAGAGAAATATGATAATCATTGATCAACTGCCCCTTATTGGGGACCAAGCCCACAACCCAGGCATGCACCCTAATCATAGAATCAAACTGTGACCTCCAGGTGTATGGGTTCCCGGATTGGAGAGGGTGCAGGTCGGACTGAGGGGCCTCCCCCCTACACGAATTTCATGCACCGGGCCTCTAGTTAATCTAATAATAAAATTGAGCATTGCAATTTAAAGTCAAAGTAAAACTTTATTTGCTAGAGGTTCAGATTTTTTTCACTGTATAAAAAAGCTTTTATAGTAAAAACAGAAAAGAGGTTAGATGTGTTATTTAGCCCATATATTTTAAAGAATTAAAATATAGTTTTTGTAGGTAACTAAATTTAAGAAGTTTACCTTTCTCCTCTTTTGCTTTTAATAATGTCCAATTAGTATTTACCTTTAAATCATTCAAATGAGATCACTGATACAATGTAAATAATACAATATAATTTTACTTTTGGTGTGTCTCTAGCCATCGATTGATCGCCATTTTCAGAGTCCTATTTGGTGTAAGTACTGCTGAAGGAAGAACAAGATTTGTCATGGGACTTGTACGTCTCTTTTTGCTGATCCAATTTTCCATTGCTTCCTTTTCATATGAGTAACCATCTAAAACAAAACACATACACAAATTATTTGCAATGTAGAAAAAGGAAGGTAGAATCACTAAAATGAGTTGGATATAAAAAAAACTCCATTGCCAATGTCTTTGAGATATATCACTATTGCCAAATATTTCTGCCACAGTACACTAATTTCTACCATTTAAGATGCATTAAGATTGCACAAATTACTTTGAACAGTGTCAGTATTTTACTGATTCATTTTGAACACTATAACTGAAAAACAACCCTGTTAAAATTCAGATGTAGCAGGAAGAAAAGAGGTTAGTGGTACTGAAGATACATAAGAGATACTGAGAGATTCTAGAACTAGTCCCACTAAGAACTTGACAGTAAAGGTATGTATGATAAAAAAAAAAAAAAAAATTCAGATCCACTGGCTAAAATTTATAATGCCATGTTCTTGCAAATTTCTTTGCCTTGACACATTAAAAAGATTGGAGTTTTTGCTTCACTACATCTTCCCCTTAAACTGAAAATGTTAGTCCCTTAATTATATGTACAAAGTTACCTATTTGCGTTAATCTACACTGCATACAACTGTTTCAAACAGACAATGCCTACATGTTACTAACAGAAGAGATCCAGTAGAGTTGTATAATTGAAAACTGTTTGAAAATCACTTGAAAAAAACTTCTGATTATGTTACCAATTAGACATATAATTTGGTCCATTTCCTTCCCTTTTAATCCTCTCAATGTTTAGTTTTCATGATTTATTTTAACACTATACACTCAAGTGGTTTCTAAGCAAAAACTGTAAAACAAGGTATATTCAAAGGAGTCCTTTCTATGTCCCTTCTCTTATATGTAACCATATATATTAGTTATTATTTTATCTTATTATTGTATTACATATGTGTCCTTATCTCCTCATTGCCTCCCAACACTCCCACTTATACCCACACCCCCCTATTGTCTGTGTCCATTGGTTATGTTTATATGCATGCATACAAGTCCTTTGGTTGATCTCTCTCCCTTACCCTCTCCCTTACCCCCACCCTTCCCTGCCTTCCCTCTGAGGTTGACAGTATGTCTCTGAATCTGTTTTTGTTCATCAATTTATGTTTTTATTTTCCATAAATGAGTGAGATCATGTGATATTTATCTTTAACTGGCTTATTTCACTTAACACTCTCCAGTTCCATCCATGCTGTTGCAAATGGTAAGAATTCCTTCTTTTTTACCACAGCATAGTATTCCATTGTATAGGTGTATTTTAATCCGTTTTTTAATCCATTAATCTGCTGATGGGCACTTAGACAGTTTCCAAATCTTAGCTATGGTAAATTTTACCACTATGAACATAGGGGTGCATATATCCTTTCTGATTGGTGTTTCTAGTTTCTTGGGATATATTTCTAGAAGTGAGATCACTGGGTCAAATGGAAGTTCCATTTTTAGGTTTTTTTGTTTGTTTGTTTGTTTGTTTTTCAGGCACTTAAATTCCTTTATTTTCTTCCATCCATTTTTAGTTTTTTTGAGGAAACTCCATACTGTTCTCCATAATGGTTGCACCAAAGCAGTGCAAGAGGGTTCTTTTTTCTCAGCATCAATACTTGTCATTTGTTGATTTGTTGATGATAGTCATTCTAACAGGTGTGAGATGGTACCGCATTGTCATTTTGATTTACGTCTCTTGGATGATTAGTGACTTTGAGCATGTTTTCATATGTCTCTTGGTCTTCCTTATGTCCTCTTTCGAAAAGTGTCTATTTAGGTCCATTGCCCATTGTTTGATTGGGTTTTTTATCTTCCTTTTGTCAAGTTGTATGAGTTCCCTATAAATGTTGAAGATTAAACCCTTATCGGAGATAACATTGGCAAATGTGTTCTCCCATGCAGTGGGCCTTCTTGTTTTGTTCTGTGCAAAAGCTTTTTATTTTGATGTCCCATTTGTTTGTTTTCTCTTTAGTTTCCATTGCTCTAGGAACTGTTATCAGTAAAGAAACTGCTTTGGCATATGTCTGAGATTTTCTGCCTTTGGATTCCTCTAGTATTTTCATGGTTTCCCATCTTATGTTTATTTTTGTGTATGGTATAAGTTGGTGGTCTAGTTTCATTTTTTTGCATGTATCTGACCAATTTTCCCATTTATTGAAGAGACTGCCTTGACTCCATTGTATGTTCTTGCCTCCTTTGTCAAATATTAATTGAGCATAGTGGTTTGGGTTGATTTCTGAGTTCTCTATTCTATTCCATTGATCTCTATGTCTGTTCTTGTGCCAGTACCAGGCAGTTTTGAGAACAGTGACTTTTAAATTCAGTTTGATATCTGGTATTAAGATCCCTCCTGCTTTGTTTTTCTTTCTCAGGATTGCTGCAGTTATTCGGGGTCTTTATTCCAGATGAATTTTTGGAGAGTTTGTTCTAGGTCTTTGAAATATGCCATTGGATGGGGAGTGCATTGAATCTATAAATTGCTTTGGGTAGTATGGACATTTTAATGTTGATTCCACTAATCCATGAACACAGTATGTTCTTCCACCTTTTTACTTCTTCCTCTCTCTCTTTTATCAGTGTCCTGTAGTTTTCCGAGTACAGGTCTTTTACCTCAAATTTATTCCTAGGTATAAATTTTTTTGGTG